CAATTGGAAAAGCTGTGCTGCCTCTTCATTCTGCACCGTAGTGTGTGTGCGAGTGTGTACCTAAGGTGTGGAGGCATGCATTGGGTTTTTGTTTTGTTTTGTTTTTTCAGGGAAATGCATTGCACATTTTCATGCAGTATACATTTTCCATGTATTTGTCATCATAAGCCATGACGTTTGAATCCAGGGGATCTAACATGCCTCTCCAACTAAAACACACACACACACACACAGAAGTAATGTTTTCTCTTTAGGGCAATGATACATTTGGGTCGATTTCATTTGAAGTTAATATAATTCAAAATGACCCTTTCTAGTTTCTTATTTTACTTTCCACATGCACAATCTTTCAAAAGTTTGAGATCGGTAAAGAAGTTGAAAGAAGTCTCTTATGCTCACCAAGGCTGCATTTATTTAATTAAAAATACAGTAAAAACAGTAATATTCTGAAATATTATTACAATTTTTTAAAAAAACTTTAAATTTGTTTCAAAATATGATTTATTCCTGTGATCAAAGCTGAATTTTCAGCATCATTACTCCAGTCTTCAGTGTCACACGATCCTTCAGAAATCATTATAATATGCTGATTTGCTGCTCAAGAAACATTTCTAATTATCACTGTTAAAAAAAATGTTGTGACGCTTAATATGTACATGGACACTTGATAATTTTTTTTAGGATTCTTTGATGAATAGAAATAAAAAAAAAAACAGCATTAAAAAAAATTTATTGTGATGCCATGAAGATCTTTAGTGTGTTTCTATTAGGTGTTTTGTGTGGTTATTGAGTGGTTAATCCATCATAAACTATAATTAATCTTATCGCTTAGTAAAAGTCACATCACAAATGGTGCAGGACAAGTTTGCGCCAAAGTTGAGTGTTCAGGATTTGGAGTTTTTTCAGCTCACTGACACAAAGTATGATTAATAAAGTGAAGAATGTCTTAGTGAAAACCTTCCGAGATCCTATAGGTCAAGCCTATTTAGTTTACATATACAAAGATAAAACAAACCAAAATCGTGATTATAATAACAAATATGCCTTTGCTCTCACAAGCGCAGTCATTTATGAATATTTGAATGCTAAATGAGTCATTAGATGGCTCCTTTTAGGAAATGGGTGTGTGAATGATCAACACTTGCTGTTTAGGGATGGTAATAGTTTTAAATACCATGTCAAACAATGGTTTTTCATTTGAAACTTACTCAAGAAGTGTTCTACCATTGTAAAGACACTTTTGTCATATTAAAAACACTGCCACTGTGTGTGTGCATGTGTGTCGCCCAGCATCTTTGGCATGGTGTGTTCAGGGGTCCTTTGACTGTGTGTGCCGGGAAGATAAGGATTAGCATGAACACTGTTGGATGCAGTAGCTGTGTGTGTGTGTGTGTGTGTGTGTGTGTGTGGTTGCATGCTGATAACGGTGATGATTGGACTCCATAGGCTGGAGTCTGTGCTCTAATAATGGACAGTCTCTCCTTTGTGTGTTTGAGTTTTGATGGTCTGGCCCCCTGCTCATCTGTGCTTTGTCTGTGGCCAATAGAGCGGCCTCAGTTCTTCATAGTGAGCTTCACTAATGTGCCATGTAATTGGATTGGAGGTCATCCGAGACGTCTCCTTAAGCTGCGCTTCATACATCCACACTACCAGAGGGCGCTAATCAATACGAATTGTAACTATTTTGAATTCACAGAATCCATTGGTAGACCGGTTATTAAAATTAACTAAATGGAATAGTGAGTCTGAGTAGAATTCTATTTACAGTCTAGAATGCAATAAAATGTTATCAATAACGGCCTGCACATGGCTACCAGATTGCAATTTGAAGAATGTGTTCACGAAAACAAGTTACTTGAAAATAAAATGTAAAATGTTAAGTGAAAAAATTATTAAATAAAAGATATTTTAAAATGTACTTTTATTTCATCTAGAGCATTTCTCAACTTTATCTACTACTACTACTACTACTACTACTAATAATAATAATAATAATATATTATAAATAATTAAAAACTATAGACTTTTTTTGCAAAATTTTGAAATGAAAATGGAAAATAAAAATAAAAACTAATTTAAAATATGAATAAAAACTATAATATATTTCAATCACACTTAACACTGGGTGATACCATTCATTCATTCATTTATTTGTCATTGTGGCCATGGTAATTCCAAAGGTTGGTTGGTTATTTATTTGTTTGTTTGTTTTTTTCTTTCATTTATTATGATTTATTTATTTATTTATACATACCAATTTTGGGGATTTAATCAGATTTTTAGGTGGACTGAGGTAAAAGGCCCCCTTAAATCATTAAAAAATGTGTTAGCATCACTACATCATGGTATCACTAAAGTTAGTCTCAGCCTCAGACGTCACGCCTACGGACCGTTGGCTGAACGTCTGATGCATACGGCACACAAAATTGGAAACACTTCGGGAGTTTTGAAGTCGTCATCGGATTGGTTGAATTATACAGGATTTCCGGGAGACGTGCGTGTCGCGTTCTTTAACGTTCTGCCTGGAAACAAATATGCCGTGACGCCAAACCCCCTCATGTTAGAAGAAAGCTGTCGTGTTTACAACCGTGACAATGAGCGCTTATCAGGATCAGCTAAACGCTTGCTTTTCAAAAGTATGTGAAATATTTGAAGTTCGCGGCATAGAATCTTTAAAATACGTCCAAGAGTTTTACACACGGTCTGTTATTGTGGGGACATTTCCACGCCCCTAAACATGACGCAGCACAAAACGAAACGTGATTGGTTGCTTTATCTGTCAGTCATATGGCCTCTTGGGCGGTCCTTGCCATTCAAAGCGGCCAAGGTTCCCAGACCTTCTGCCGTCAGTCTGAAGGTCTGGCTACGTGAGACTACACTATAGTTGTTTTTGTATACTAATATGATATGTAACACTTAAAATGAGAATGCATTTAACTAAAGCCTTTACGTCCAGTTCGAGTTGAATAAAGCACATTTACTTACAAGCTCACAGTATCAGCTACATGTGCTTCTGCGAAAAAAACGTGGCGGCAGTTGATATCCCCCCCCCCACATTAGCAATTTAACACAAGTAGCTGAAAATAACCTTCATTTGTGAGGCTTTTAGCGTATAGCGCGTTGGTGGAGAGGTTTTCTCTCTTTGAGAGGAGTGCGTCTGTGTGTGGGTGCTTTTGTAAGCTAGCTGGAATGCTCTGGTACCGCCAATGCTAAGATGGCTGCCAAGCGTTAAGATGGCTGCCAGGATTCCATACAACAGCAGCAGCAAGCGAACGAGGGGATGCGAGAGAGAGAAAAGAAGGAAAGAGGGGGCTATCGTGTTCATTTTTTCCTTCAAAATGTATAGTGTAGGTTTTTAAAACCACATTCTGTTGCTGCACATAATTAGCGGTGCATGCTAAGGCCAAACAGCACTACTGCTAAATTTCGAGGCAAATCTAGAGACCAGAATATCATAGAAGTGTGGACTGTTTTGACTTGGGCTAGTAAGCGAATATCCAGAACCCTCCTAGCAACTAGCAAACATGCTAAAAAACACTAAGTATGATTGGCTAAAGAGGTAAAACATTCATCAATACTCACAGCAGACTGAACGGAAAGGCCAAAGTAACTAAGTGACTTTCCTCTTAAGGTCTATAGTTAATCAAAACCTCAGTGCATATAGAAAAAAGGGGTTAGTGAGTCTCGGCCAATTCAAACAGCCGCAGGGGTCTGGTCTCGCTCCAAGATCGCTATACTTTCTAAGATAAAAAGCCTACGGAGACATTGTCCAAACAACTCGATGGCTGCGCACCAGCCTTTGTCTACATCTTATGAGCTATACGGCAGAGTTGGGTTTCACCAGGCTGCTCACGGATGTATATTTTGCAGATTTATAGATTTTAGATTAGCAGCGCAACTTCAAGCCTAAAATGGACAACGGTGACATAAAACCACAAAGCTGTGTTTTTTCATTGGACCCGACTGACCAAGTCCAGTTGTGTTTTTTAACACACCTATGGTCTACATTGCCGGACTAAAGATCTTGTTTCATGATCGAAAGACTGTTTTGTGGTTTTATGTGTAGATATTGATATAGATATTTTTATAAATAAAATAATAGAATATAATCGTTGTTTATCGACCTAGGCAGAATTTGATTCTGAAATCCATGTAATTCGAGGTGTTATTCAAGTCTGTTTTGTTTAATACTTAAGGCTACACATTTGTTCACTAACCAACCCAAAGTATGAACAATAGTAATGGTAATCTGTTATCAAATATACAATAGCATTAAAAAAGTTTTTTTTATTTATTTTTTTATTAATACTTTAATTCAGGAATGATGCATTCATTTGATCAAAAGGGACATTTATAATGTTGCAAAAGATTTCTATTTCAAATAAATGCTGTTCTTTTGAGCTTTCAATACACCAAAGAATCCTGAAAAACTGTATCACAGTTTCATAACGGTTTTTAACATGATAATTTCTTGAGCAGCAAATCAGAATATTATAATCATTTCTGAAGGATCAAATGACACTGCAGGAATGAATTACATTTTAAAATATATTAAAATAGAAAACAGTTATTTAATTTGTGATAATATTTCACAATATTACTGTTTTAATTACTTTTTTTTTCAAAGAAATGCAGCTTTGGTAAGCATAAGAGACGACTTTCAAAAACATTAAAAAAAATCATTTTGAATGATAATGTATAACAAGTCAAATACCAACTAATAACAAGACCATCAGATTTCAGATATGAAGATCCAAATTTTGCCTGAATATCATGTAAATGATCCAGAACCGGAGCACATTTTGCATGTCTCATTTCCAGCTGTGTCGTCTCAGCGCTACATTGAATATGTGCTGGCAGAGAATATATAGAATGTTCTACATCTGCTAATTGATTCAGGCACCTTTGGACTGAACCCAGCCGTCCCATGTTTAATCTGCTCTCTTTTTTCCCCCTCCTGTCTTTCTCTCTCTCTCTCTTTCTTTCTGTCGGCTTTGCAGAATCTGGACAATCGGATAACTCAAACCAACAAGGAGAAGTAGACATCAAGCCTCCGCCCAATGGTGGGTCAAGCAAAACAAAAATCGCACACACTCTCACAAACAACTACACACTCAAAGGTTCCAAAAGGATTTACAGCCTAATGCCATTCAGCCCAGAAATTAAAGTCTTCATTTACTCAAATTCGTTTTAATTTAAAATAAAGGTGCCTGGAGGAACCAAAAAGGAGTTCTTGGTTCCCCAAAGAACTGTTCAGTTAGATACTTAAAAGAACAACACTATAAAAATTCAACTTCCATTTTGTCAGACAAACTCTGTTTTAGAAATATCTCCATATAACCTTTTTAGTTTGCTAAGCAAACTGAAAAACGAGTTTGACAAACTACAAAGTTCTACATCTCTATTACTGTATGTGATGTTAATGCTCAGCTTCGCTTAAAATGCTAGCTTATTGAACTTGGATCCATACGTAAAAAGCATCAGCTTTGATTTTGTAGAACTTTTTATATTGTGTTTGTTGAAAGTACAGTCCAACTTTAAATCGCTACGATATTCTTTTTTCCATAAAGACCTCAAGTTTTTGAGTTGTGAATTTTAAAGTGCGTTTTTTTGTTTTGTTTTGTTTTGTTTTCATAGAGTGAAGAACATTTTAACCATGTAAAGAACCTTTTTCCACTTTTTTTTTCCCAATGGAAAGGATCTTTATGAAACCTCAGTGGAAATAAAGAACCTTTAATTTTAAGAGTGTTCAAATCTTTCCAGACTCCAGAGTAAATATTGATTCATTTTGTTGAAAATTGTTTTAATTTACGAAAAACCTTCAAATTAACTCTTCAAAATAAATGTTCTTTATTGGCTTCTATTGGTTTCATGAAGAACCTTAAAAAACCATGGAACCTTTTCATTCCACAAAAGGTTCTTCAGATTATTGAAATGTTCTTCACACTAAGAAAAGAAAGGTTCTTTTACGAACTTTTAACTGAAAGCTTCTTTGGGTCCCACTTTATATTAAGTGGCCCTAATACCTGTGTACTTACATAGTAACTAGATGTGTACATAGTATGTAACCACTGTGTAAGTACACATTGGTACATAGTATCTACAGCTGTAATGTTTGTGTAACTACACATATGTAACAGCCCACTGAATGGTATGTGTAAATACAAATGTGTAACAGGACATTGGTAACAACAATTTTTGGTAATGAAAGTACAAATGTGTAACAGGACTAACAGCACTTTTTAGTAAAGAAAGTGTTACACTTTTTGGTAAAGAAAGTGTTACACTTTATATTAAGTAAAACAATTCCTATGGATTTACCATGTAATTACGCTGATGTTACACAGCAGCGGCCAGTAAGTTAGGCTTTACATATAAATTGTGGCTGGTGTCCAGAATGTTGCACTTTATATTAAGTGGACAGTTCCAGAGGAGTTACCATGTAAATACACTGGTATCACAGTGGTGCACCAACTCCACCAACTTGAGATCCAACTCCTCCCACTTTACATATCCCTAAACCTACCCATCTCCACCCCCTGGATCCCATTTCCACCCCTAAACCTACCCATCTCCACCCCCTGGATCCCATTTCCACCCCTAAACCTACCCATCTCCACCCCCTGGATCAAATGGTTCCAATTACTCTTATACAT